AGTTTTCCACGTCTTTGGCATCCTGTCGCCCATCATAATTTTTAGGCATCGAGTACTCGATCCTTGGGGCAACAATACTAGTAACGGCACCTCCGCTTGAACTTACGGTAGATTGTTTGTATTGATCTGTCTTTGCTCTTTCTTTCCATCATCACCGCCGATTGGTTTCCTTGGCTTTGTATGGTGGAGGCATCTAAGACTTTGGCTTGGAGTCTACCAAAATCTTCCGATATTACCTTTCATCGTTTGAACATCATTCTCCAACGATGCTTGCATATCCATCACCTATTGGACATTAGATTGGAGAGTTTCTAACTTTCCAATAGAGTGTTCCTCTAACGTCTCCAAGGAGTTTTCAAGAGATTCGACTCGATCACCCATATTTGCGATGATTTGGTCGACTTCACCCTCCATGGTAATAGCTTCCTAAGCTTAATTTTGGTCCGTGTCTTCTTTGCTTCAATTGGGGCAACACCACGACCCCTTTCCTCAACCTCAACAGTTTGTTGAGAATTCGCCATGATAATGTTGCCTGCCAACGAGGCTATGATACCACCTGTCACTGGACTAGTTTTGTTACACACGAACAACTAGAAATCGTGCGGCCTTAACGTTCCAAATTCCCGACCCTCTCGAGAAAACGTTAAGTCAACCTTTCAACACTCCCAAATAATTTAACCAACTAGGATAAATTATAATAACTTTGAGTAAAGGATTTGAAGTAAGAAAAATATGGGAAACAAGTAATGCTGGGGAAAAATTTTGTTATAAAATAACTCCACACCAAATGAATTTTAATTACAAATGAGACCACATATCTATTTATAGGCAGAAGTCTTGCAAGTGCCTTGGAATTAATGACCAAGATCAATATTCATCCAAGGGTCCTCATTGGATGTAACTTGCCTAAACCTCTTAAGACAATAAGGAAGTAAAGTTAGAATTTGTTTCATGCAAGTGGCATGTTTCTACAACCCTTATTGCAAGTGGACATGTCCCTTTCACAGTGGCAAAATCAGCTTTTGCTTCCTCCTTGACAATGTCTTGCAAGTGGCACAAGTGGGCAAGTTGGCCAAGTAACCTCTCCAAAATATCCAGTTGTATCCCATGGTATTTCCCTTGCTGGTATGACAGTTTTCTGCCTTAGAAAACCAGCCTACAGTGCTGGGAAAACTACCCATGCTTGCAGCCAGTATCTTGCCATAACTGTAGTATGTGTCCAGCCATGTCCTTCGTGTGTCCTGTGTGCTGCCTGAAATCTGCCTGCGTTGCGCCATGCTGCAATGCCTGTATGTACACCCCAATTTCCCAGCCTTAGTCTGGACATGACGCTGTGACCATGGACATCAGTCATTTTTCCACCAAATTAGGCGATGCCCTCATCGCCATGTACCGCTGAAGTTTAGATCGAATTAACCATAGGTCTACTTCATTTTCCCACTTAGTGTCATGACATTCTCGTGCCATGCTAGATCTCAAGTAATTACCTTGCTATCCGTAACACAATGGTTACAAAAATGGTTCACATCCACCACTCCTCATCTCCGCTAGTTTTATCCCCTCCATTTCTTATTTTCCCACCACTAATACCATTGCCATCTTTCCCACCCATTACCTGTCTACCCCCACCCTTTCTTTTACCCCAACTCCCAAAACACCCACCACCCATGTTTCCACTTCTACCCCTACCCAAAACAATTTAGAGCATCCAGGTCGTAAATATCGAACCAACTGTAGGCTTCCTAGTGAGTTAATTTAATCAATGGCCACTGAACTTTTATATAGTTGCTACTTGTTCATCGAATCTTTAAAAAGTTAATCGCTGCTCACTGAACTTTGCTATATATTATTGCTTACTTATTTAAATTTAAAAGTTTACTCGCTACTCACCTAAATTTTGAACAAAGTTATTTGTTGCTCACTAAATTTTGCTATATGTAACAATTATGGAATTGATGCAGGTGATTAATGAGTAACTTTAGTCAAATTTGGGTGAGTAACGAGTGACCTTTTAAATTTTGATGAGCAACTAGTAACATGTAGCAAAGTTTAGTGAGTAAAGAACAACTTTTTGAATTTCGATAAACAAGTGGTCACATATAACAAAGTTCAGTGATTATTGCTTAAATTAACCCACTTCCTAGTACATGCTGTACAAGCTTGAAACTTTTGCCCTTTTCTCTTTGAATTTGAAGCCATCCCTTAAGTCATTTGATAATCTGTCCACGCCGTTAGAATAAAAACAAGGTTTCCAAATTTCTTGCCGCTGCAACCGCTCCTGATTCGCCAAAGCTACTACTAGTGGTCTCGCATTGTTCTCTTGCGTCTTGTTGCTAGGCACTTTTACCTCTATAGATTTCTCGTCCAAGCATCTTCCCTTGCCCGTGAATGGCCTAAGCCTTATTTGACAATCATCATTTTAAAACTAATTCTTGTACTTATTTTCAACCACATTTACACAGTAAAATAGTTTACACGTAAATTCAAAAATTTCTCTATTTTTTGATTGCTCATTCTTTAAAAAATTCATTATTCAAAACATCAATTTTCAAAATAAAGGCCATCAAACATGAGCTAAATTTAGGGATTGTTTGAGCCCTATTTTTTTTTTTTTCAAAAATACATTTTTGCAACGATGTTACGATGTAGAATATGTGGTTATAAAATAAGAATTTTTTTTTTGAATTTACGTATAATATTATTTTATTGAAGAATGAGTAGTTGAAATGAGCTAAATCAAATGCATTCTGACAAAAAAAAAAAAGGGACACAAACGGGCTTAGTCTATTCTTTAATCTCCTCATCTTCTACTTTTTGTGGAGCATTCTCTTTAATTTTTTTTTTTTCAATTTCCTTATAGTCAAGAGGGGCAACAAAATCCACATCGCAATCCGTCTCATTTCCATCCGTCACGTGCCATATTTTGTTAGTTAACGGTGATAGTGATAAGACGGGTGATCGACAGATAAACAATTGGATAGACGAGCGAGGAAATAGTTATCTTTTATGATTTGGCGAGCATGTAGTAATTAGTAATGTGAAGTAAATTGGGTGAGTATTTACTCCCTAATTTTCACTAAATAATAGGCTACTTAGCCCATCGTAACTATTTTTTATGATTTGGCGAGCATGTAGTAATTAGTAATGTGAAGTAAATTTGGGGGAGTATTTACTCCCTAATGTGACTAATAGGCCACTTAGCCCATTGTGAATAAAGTAATCCATTGAATATTTCTGTACTGTGACCTCACCATGGAATGTAGTGCACAGAAAAAAATCCGCACTGCAGAGATCAGAGATGAAAAGAGAAGAGAAGAGAAGAGAAGGTATGTTTTCTTCGTTTTCACAGTCGTTTGAATTTCCAGTCGCGGTATGATTTCTGAATCTTGCACAACAATTCCTCTATTTATTTAGTTTTTATTCTTCCAATATTTGAGAAAAGGCACTGTAATTTGGATTCTTCGGTCAAGAAATGAACTCTTTCATTCAGAAATTTTGCTAAATTTCCCATTCTTTTTGTTGGTTTAGTTGTTCAATTCTGCATTCCAAATTACTCGGAGTTATTATAATCAATTCTGCTTTATACTCGTCAAATTGTAAGTGGGCCAATTGAGGAATGAAATTCAAAAAGATGGAGGATATGTGTATTTGGAAACAAGGGTTTTAATCTTTGCCTACGGGTTTTGACTTCTGGTTCAGCTCCCTTCCCTTGCACAATCAATTTTGCTTGTGAGGACTTCTTGTACAAGCTAGCCAGATGATTATTTATTGTTTTTGAAGACTCATTCTTTACTGTCAAAACCTACATGTTTTCTTTGCTGCTCGGTAATTTTTGTTTTGAGTAGTTGCTGTATTGTTCAATGGCTGCTCTAAAGTTCTTATTTTTCTTAGTTGTCACCTGTCATATATATATTTGCAAGTCCTTCATTACTTAGAATCAAGGTTGGTCTAAATTGGTTTGTTTTGAACATGTTCCAATTCAATGCCGTATATATGTGGTGATCTAACTTGATTTGTTTTGAAAAAGTTTCCAATTCAATGCCGTATATATGCGGTTTTACCGACTATACTTTCTTACATCAATATTTATGTGCATGCTTTCTTATAAGAAGTCAATTGGATCAATAGTAGATTCTGTTTGATCAATATAATGTGTGGTTAAAATAGTCGTTGCCGTCTATATCATTGTTGAATTCTTCAAGTTTTCATTGGTGATGTACTCGATTATATTTTTATTTTCCTCATTAATCTTGAATGTTCCCAAGATTAGTGACCTCAAAATACCTTTTTAATTGAACTTGTCTCTGTTTGGCATTTACTTTTTGGTGCAAATTGCATATTTTGCATATGAACAGACGGGTGAACATTGTAATGTGGCCTTAGATCCCTGTAATGACTAGAGTTTTAACCGAATCTAATTTATCATGATGTTCTTTTACTTTCTTTAGCCCTAGCCATGTTCGTAGAAGTATAAATGATTCAGAACTATCAAATCATGCTCATGGAGCCATTTACTTAGCTAATCAAACTGGAAGAAGTTTATGGCTTGTTCATATTCTCCATGAACAGAAAAAGAAAGAGAACAGAAAGTGACCTAGCAAAATGAATTGCTTCCCTGGGTTGTTGTTGGCTGGCTTTTTAGTGTAAGGTTTTACTGTATATAATGGGTGAGTGTTGGCTTGCTTGTGGAATAGGAAAGGTTGCACTCCTTAGGAAGTAACTAGGGGTGCTAGGGGTCCCTATACTCCTTGGATGTTAAGTGCTTTTTCTTTTATTGATCATTGATCAAACATTGGTCTCTACAACACTTTTTGATTCTCTATATTCCTTTTTTTTTTAAGCACACAAGCTACACAATAATTTATACGTTAAGGAACATTTTTCGGCTTTGAAATGGTAAACAAAAGATCCCTTGGTTATTTGTATCTCTCATTTTTATGCAGTAATTTAGTCCTTTATTTTCTTTATTAAACAATGACAGTGGAATTTGTTAAATGTTAATGCACTGTGTCTCCCAATTTCAACATGATCGGGACAAAGGGTCGCGATGCCGCAAGGTTGAGCTGGCCCCAAAAGCTGTCCTCAGGCTGCAACTCGCTTACATGAAGCCAAAATCACTAGTAATTGCCGGTCAGCTGTACGGCTGTCAAATAATATTGCAGTACATTGTCTCCCTGGAGCCAATTCCATCTAACAATTTAAAGGAACCATGCAGATATTCAGTGCCTATAAACAAAAACCCCTTCAGAATCTTTGCCGCAGCGATAAACAATTAGTTTAGCACCACTTTCTACTTAAAGTTTCAATGAGTGTAAACACCACATCTGGGGTGTTTGATGAGTGGGAAAGTTGTAAAGCAATATTTACACTTTCTGGGCAATTCTTTTCACTTCATCATCAAGTAATTGGACAGAGTTGGCTTTTGTGGGGTTAAGTCTTTTTATCTTAAAGGAGAGGGCGATATACTAAAAGCTTTAAAAAGTTGAAGGCAAACTGCATTTTTCGTAACACGTATAAGTTTAAGATTCTGAATCTTTATGGATATTATAAGATTAACTGCTTCTAGATAATTTGCATTGTGAAATCTTTTAATCGCTGATCATATTCGTTTGGTGTTTCTTGTGCTCGTATGCTTGCAGGTGCTAGAACATGTAATAACCATACTAAGTAGCTCTATACAAGTTATTGATAGAATTATATGTGAATTTTCTTACTTAGGCCCTGTTTGGTACACATTATTTTTTTCATTTTCATTCTTCTACTCCTTTTCAACCACACATTCTTCAATAAAATAATATTTTCCATCACATTAATAACTTTTCCTTCATTTTTAACCACACATTAAATTATATGTGAATTTTCTTACTTAGGCCCTGTTTGGTACACATTATTTTTTTCATTCTCATTCTTCTACTCATTTTCAACCACACATTCTTCAATAAAATAATATTTTCCATCACATTAATAACTTTTCCTTCATTTTTAACCACACATTCTCCATCAATCTGCTATTCAATAATACATTCTTTCAAAAGAATGTGTCCCAAATACACTCTTAAACATTTTATAAATATTGCTTACAGACGGTAAAATTGATAGGCAAAGTAAATGAATACTTGTGGACTTCTTCATATTGTTTAGGGAATCCTGAAGTGTCTCATATTCACCTCTCTATTTATTTCACTGAATTGTGCGGTAAATTTCTTAACAGTACTTTTCCTGGTTCTCTTTACGGTTTTAGCACAGTGAATCAAGGTTGCCAAGCAGGGTTGGTGACAGAACTACTAGTGGATGTCATTGTAAGAATTAGAACACGATATGACCATGATTATCGGATTTACTGTCATTCAATATTCTTGTGGTCAAGAGCAATTATTTTGCTGACCAGCTATCTGATAACTGGCCGACGTCCCAGATTCTTGACTCGAGCAACTCTGTTGAGGTTTATTGCCAAGAATCTGACCTTGACTATCACATTACGAGTCATCTATATAATCTCAGATGTTTCCATGACGGACTTATGGCACTGCATCAAAAATGCTCTTGGCATACTGAGAGTAGCTGTTAAGCTCGAATGCTCACAAACTGTTGCTACTTGTGTGGACTATTTGGAAGCAGTCCCCTGAGAAGAAGTTGAGGAAGGAGAAATTTTAAAAATTATACCTGGCATGGGAGCAGAAGCAGAGCAAATACTTGCTCGGCTCCGGCCAGTCAATCCTCTGGCTATAGTTACGATTTTTCTGTCAGCTATTCATTTCGCAACATCAATGAATGATCTTAAAACCTCAGCTCAGGAGCAGCTTGAGTACATGGTCACTGAAGATGATGATGCTCCATTGTTAACCGCGGATGATGAGATCAAATTTGAGGTGAGACAATGTGTCGACAGAGTATCAAGCAGATTTGTAAATCCTGTACATTCTTTGGTTGGTAATCTCCGAGAATCAGTTGCTCTGAGTCAGAAAAGATGGAATTATTCCAGTCCTACTTAAGTAATCTGTAATGGTCTTCTCAAATATTAGCTAAGTTGGAATTCTTGAGAGATTTTGTTTACAAATGGGTGGAGATGTCGGAAAATATAATTTAAGTTGTCAAGTACAAATGCCCAGAAGGTGAATTGACTGAAGTAAAGTTAGAAGTTCTTGAAGTGACAGTTAAAGTCTTAGTGGTAATAGGATATGGGACTGTCATTTTGCCTACAAAAGAAAGCCTTCGCATGATTAAATTCTGGCTTCCGTTCATAAGGGTCATGAAGTTTTCAATTGATTCTGTCACCTCCGATGATGACAAGAATCCGCTGTTATAAATTGTTGGTGAGCTCTGGCAATCGTTGGAGACAGCATTCGCTTCAATAGTTCTCACCTTACCATCAGAGAACCAGGCAGAAATTTTGACAGAATCGTCAGAAAATAAGAACATTCATTATCCGGACCTGACGGAGGCATTTGAGATTTGGTGTTACAGGTCCAAGGTTGCCAAGCGAAGGCTGGCAATGCTAGATGAAAGCCATCAGACGACTAATGGTGTATGATTTCTTTGCTTTCTTTGCTTTATTTTTCTCTTTTTTTGCCAAATGATTAATTTTTTTTCATCAATCTTGCAATTGGAAAGTCAAAGTGCTATTTTTCACTGGCCTAGATCGTTGCTTAGGTTGAAAAATGTCTCACCAGTGTGTAATTATGTAAATCTGTTGGACTCTATACTTCTATGGCCTGTCCAACTTCTGCTTTATTTTTGGGGATTTTATAAAATTCTTGCTGAGTTAATTAATCCATGCTTATTCATTTCTGAATTGCATTTGTAGACGTATACGTGGGTCTCACGAAATATGTGACAAAACGTGATTTGACTGAGCTACACCACTCCGTTGGCTTTGCCTTACTGTATTCGACTAGAATTCTCCCGTCCTTTAACTTCGGAGTGTATGCTATACAAAAATAGGCTTTGATCATTACCGTGTCACATATTTAGTACGTTGTAAAAATCAATTAAGTTTTTCTAGCAATACACCTTTTCGGCATTTCGGAAGGGCCATTGCCATGGTGATGTAGAGAAAGACCTCAAGTCTGCTTCTGCCCATTTCAATCATCCAGATATCCAAAGTTGCTCTTCTTGAAATTCTGTCTTAATTAGCTTTCCTAAAATTCTCTCTATTTTCGTGGTTTAAAGTTCGGTAGTTAGCAATTCAATTTTCCGATTGTTCAGTTCGATATGACTGATCGTTATGGACCAATCCACGATCTGCCCCGAGTCGGGTTAAAAGATCCGATTTTTCTATACAGCCCACAAGAACAGAAGTAAGGTAAATTTTGTCCAATTTGCCATCCATTCAATTGTAAATTGACACATCACGAATTTTCAAACCTTAATTGCAATTTGATGGACAGCAAATTGGACAACAGATCAGAAGTCGTATAAATTTAGAAATCATGCAAATAATTAGTGCGCTTTGCTGTTTCCCTATTCAAGCCTTTAAGCAACTAGTCTGATTCCCTGTTCAAATCTGGTTAATATTTGAGTGCAATTCAACCATGCCTCAATAGAAAAATTTCCCATTTTGATGATACCTTCAATAATTTGTTGGACGAGGAAATATTGTAAAATATTTTTTTGTGTTTTTTCTTTTAATTTGATTACGTCTCAAAGTTTAAATTGTTAAAGAAAGCTACGTGTATATCAATAGTATTTTTTCTTCAACACGTTTCCTCACTTGCAGACGAGTTTTTTTTTTTTTTTTTCCAATTTAAACCTTACACATAATTTTAATAAATGGGCGGCGCGACGAATTTGTCTTCGACAACCTTCTTGTCATGTCATCCACTAGTTCTTGAAGATTCGAATAAGGTCATAAACACGTCAGATCCCAAGAACTTATGATTAGCTGACTAGGCTTAGTACTATATTTTTAATGGATCAGATATGATCCCACTACCAAAAACCACAGGGCTTGTGCAAAAAAAAAAATTTTTAATTAATTCAAGAGAAGAATGGAAATTTATGATGGATTTGAGACGAAATTAATTCTTTAAAAAAAAAAATTTTTGTTGAATTTTACTCTCAAGGCATGATCAACACTTCATTAGTATGAATGTTCGTTAAAAAAATAATGACATTTACCATTGTACATTAACTAAAAGTTATTGATGTGATTGAAAATATTATTTTACTGAAAAATGTCTGGTTAAAAGCGAGTAGAAAAATGAAAAATGAAAAAAATAATGTGATTCAAACTGGAGCTATTCTTTTTTTTTTCCTAATAGATGCCTTGATAAGTCATGAGCCTAGATATACTATATTCTGTGTGGATTGTCCTGGTCCAAGTGTGAAGTAGTCAAGTCGAACTGAGTTTGGACAGTTTGACCCACTTTTTCCGTTGCATGACAAGAAAACCAGGTGTAGAGTATTGAGTTGACACTGAGTAGTGGATAGTTCAATCCACTTTCTCCCCGTAGGTGACAAGAAAACCAAGTGTAGAGCAGTTAGGCTGCAACGAGTTTGATCCTTTCGGTCCACTTTGTCTCATCAAGTGACAAGAAAACTTGGTTTGGACAGTTCGACCGACTTTTACCCCGCATGGCAAGGGAGTAATTAGGTCACAGTGAGTTCATGCAGTTCAATCACTTTTGCCTCGCTATATGACAATTGTCAGGTCACATTGAGTTTGTACAGTTTGATCCACTTTTACCAGGTTACATGGCAAGAAAACCATTCAGATAATTGGCTTCTTTCTTGACAGGCGTGAACAGTTAGAGCGCATAGATATCAAATGTAAGACAAAACAGAAACCTGAATGATGATGTGCTGACCTTAAATTCAGCAGCCACCCCCACCATCATCAATGAATTGATGCGTTATCTCCTCATTCCCCGTACGTGATTTGAAGGCCACCGTCCGTACTTTTTAGAGACTCAACTCCACTTTTCATAAATTCAACTTTATAATCTAAACAATTCCCACTTAATATAAGTGATTTAGGTTATGCACCATTTATTGCTTGTCAACACCTGATTACGCAATCTGGGTGTAGCAGATTTTTACGAATCTTGTAAACTTTCCTTATTATGTGTTAACTCGCCAAGTCAAAAACCATGATCAAGGATTGGTGGAATACAGTGCACTTTCCACACTTTTAACTGCAACCATTAGTTCTGTTTAGCCAATTTTTTCGGCTTTAAATAGTGGAAAAGCTGTATCCCAGTAATTAAGATTGAGTTCTGATCCAAGTAAACGTAATGAATTAGAGAAAACTTTTATCTTTCGGTTGCCAATGAAAAAACTTTTGTCATTATAGTAAACATAACCATCAAACAAAAGACATCAACACATGTAATAAGCAATAAAATATATTCTTGAATTGCATTTGCAACCCACTTTTCAATGTTATAAATATAAGAAGGTGAGTATCCTCCAAAATTCATTTCACATCTACAAATTTGTCTCTAGCAACTTAATTAAGAAGGCTTACATATAACCAGGCTTTCTCCTTTTCACTGGCTTTTGTTCATGGAAATCGATTCATCAAACCAAGAAAAAAGCACTGGATCGAGTGGTGGCATTAAGGCCATTACCGGGAAGTTTAAGGCCAATGTGGTGGAAATTGTAGAGAAAACCAAGAAACTCGGACAAGATGATCCGAGGAGAGTCGCACACTCTGCAAAGGTGGGACTAGCTCTCACATTAGTGTCCTTTTTCTACTATTTCAGGCCTCTCTATGATGGCTTTGGACAAGCAGGAATGTGGGCAATCTTAACAGTTGTGGTTGTTTTTGAATTCACAGTTGGTAAGTCTTGTAATAAACTAATCCATGGTAAACACATATCAGCTTATATATGTTATTTTGCTTAAATAAAGTAAATATTAACCACATATCATCATTTTGACCCCTATACTAAAATAAACTAAATGGATCTTCTTCTCTTTAGGTGGAACCTTATCGAAGTGCCTTAACAGAGGTTTTGCAACATTGCTAGCAGGCGCTTTAGGGATCGCAGCTGAATACTTGGCCACCCTCTGTGGAGAGAAAGGAGAGCCTGTTCTTCTTGGAATTCTAGTGTTCATTATAGGTAAAAATTCAGTCTTCCTACGATCCTCGAAAACTTCGAAAAACCAATAGTTTCTGTTTTTTCTAAGCTTCAAACTCTTCGTCAACTATAGAAATCTACCATACAAAAAGCCCTTTTTTTTAAACTCAAAATTCATTTGATGTTACATGTTTCCAGAAACTTACATCATATTAATTGTTCTCAAAATTTCTAAATACAGCTGCAACATCAACATTTATGAGGTTTTTTCCAAATATCAAGAGGCGATATGATTATGGAGTCTTGATATTTATACTAACGTTCTCACTGGTGGCTGTATCGGGCTATCGAGTGAGCCAAATTATCCAGCTTGCTCATCAAAGGCTGTCCACAATTCTCATTGGTGCCGCAACCTGTATTGTAATCTCCATATTCATATGTCCAGTTTGGGCGGGTCAAGATTTGCATAATCTGACTGCTACTAATATAGAAAAACTTGCTAGCTTCTTAGAAGGTACACGTGGAAAGTTTTTTTTTTTTTGTTACTTTTATGACAAAATATATGTATCTGACAAACATTTCTACAAAAAATTGATTTACAGGTTTTGGAGATGAAGGTAGCGTAGTTGCCTCCAAAGATGACAAGTCTTTTCTTCAAGGATATAAAAGCGTGCTAAATGCAAAGGCTACTGAGGAATCCTTGGTAATTATATCCGTTCTCTAACCACTTAAACTTCTATATATGTTTTAAATTAGAGTCAATACCATGAAGAATTCTAGACAAATCAATGCTTTGTTATTTTCAGGCAAATTTTGCGTGGTGGGAGCCGGGTCATGGTCGCTTCAAGTTTCATCATCCATGGAATCAATACTTGAAGATTGGAGTCCTTGCTAGAGAATGTGCATGTCATATGGAAGCACTTAGTGGCTACATACACTCCAGGCCACAGGTAATAACTGTGTAGTCAATTAATTCATGTAGCCAACTCCAAATTTATTCAAAATAATAATTAATTTGTTGATGCAGGTTCCATCAGAGTTTTACGGAAAGATTCATCAACCTTGCGTAAAAATAAGCTTAGAATCTGGCAAGGCTCTAAAAGAGTTAGCTGCTGCAATTAAGAATACGATACATCCATGTGATGCTGAAACCCATGTAAAGAATTCCAAAGCAGCTGCTAATGAACTCGAAAGCATTCTAGAAAATTCCTCATTGCTATCCATACAAGACGATGTTCAAGAAATCGTGCCAGCACTCGTTGTTGCATCGATACTAATAAATATCATCAATTGTGTCGAGGAAATTTCAGATTCCATTCATGAACTCTCTGAAAAGTCGCATTTCAAGAATGCAAATTCACCTGAGAAACAACAGCAAAAGCAATTGCTTCACCGTGGAATTGTGAAACCTATTACTGATGATAGTTGCGATCATGTTGTAATCGAGATACATGGCACAAGTGAGGACAACTCGTCTGTTCCAGCAACAAAGAAAGACGAAGCAGTTCATATGTAAATTTTTTTTAGTAACAAAATATGTTAATGTAGGTCGACCGATATACGAGGCTTTGTACTTTTTTATCATGTAAAAGTCGATGATGTATCGATGTCGATGATAATGCATCATAGTGCAGTACAATATATGTACTCACATCATTATTATGATGGAAAGCAATAAAATTAAGCAAAAAGATTTTTTTTTTCCTTTATGAAGTACAGTCTTTTTGGTGAAGGAATATTTTTCTTTACAATAGGTGCGCTTATTTTCGAGCACAAATTTATACTTTATCGATAAACATACATCTGAAGCATGTAAGCAAGAAGATCACGTTTCTTTAGAGATGTCAATCGAATCGAGCGGCTAGTCGGCTCGGTCGCTCGGCTCGTACTGCCCACGAGCCGCTCGGGCTCGTCAAAAGACGAGCCCGAGCTCGAGCCAAGAGGACCGGTTCGTAGACAAGCCGAGCTCGGCTCGACTCGGCTCGTTAAGAGGCGAGCGCTCGTGGGATTGAGCCCACGGCTCGTGAAAAATCATTTAAAAAAAAACTAAGAAAAATAAAAAAATAATAATAATTTTTTTTTGACGAGCCACGAGCAGAGCTGAGCCGGCTCGTGAGCTCGCGAGCTCGTGGGCCGAGCCTAGCTTGCCTACGAGCAAACGAGCCACGAGCGGCTTGGCTCGTGAGCTCCTGGCTCGTTTCTCCACGAGCCACGAGCCCGAGCCGAGCTCGTGGCTTAAAGGGCCGAGCCGGCTCGGCCCGGTCCATTGACAACACTGCTTCTTAGGTATCAGTACAGTAGTAAGAACTTGTTTGGGATGAATTTTAATCCAATTAAAATTGAAAATATAGTCATTATTGAGTCACATTCATTTAATAAAAGTCAACAATAATAACTAGTTTTTCAATCTTATTCCGATTTTAATCCCTCACAAACAAGCTCTAAATAAAAAACTGTTTCCTACTCTAGCAACTTCAATTTTTGAGGGTTTCGATATCGTAAAACAAAATTTATGTAGAAATATCACTTTTATTCTTCGAAAATATCACTTCTTTTCACAAAATCTACGTAAAAAAGTTTAGATAATAACAATGTACAGACGGTTTTAATAAGCACAGAAACTGAAGAGTGGCCACTGTGCAAACATATATTGGGATGTTTGGAATCTGTTTTTGGAGTTTTAAGGGTGAAGAGATGGTGGGAACCACTCGATCGATCTGCTATACGTACGGAAAATTCTGCACGCACAATTTCTTTAACAGTGAATAGGTTAGAAAACCTCAGTTTAGGCACTCAAGAAGAAGACCTCAAAACAAGAAAAAAAAAGTATTTATTTGTGGGGGAGAGTGGGGATAGTTCCCCACTTGAATCCCATTTATGCAAGTTGCTAGAAGAATATTCTACCATGTTTTTTCTTTCCAGCAGTATGAGTGTGAAATCGTCCTAGGGATCAGTTCATGTTATATCTTATATTTAACCTAACCGCATATAGGCAAACTATAGGTTTATTTTTTGCTAGCTCAGGGAAAAAAAATTATAAATGAGTGGTCTTTAAATTTCCACCAAGGATTGTTAGTTGCTCTTATATTATGTTGGTTTATCTTATCGAAAATAAAATAAATTTGTGTGACTTGTTATATTCGTTAATTATATAACAATTAAGTGATAAGGGTGTTTGGATACTCTCAACTCTAGGAAATCGTGTTAGAATAGATGGAAAAAGCGGATAAAGAGTCAGAGTGAAAAATAAGCAAGCGGGGAATGTTCCACTCGTGGCAATCTAGTATTTATGGACGGCCATCAGTAGACAATAGAAAGTAAAACTTGATTCCACTTCACGACCTCCCAACTTTGTGGGAGGCTGTCGAACTAGCCGTTAAGCTCATTCTGGTTCAATCTTTTTAATGAAATTTGTGTCTTTTTCCGTTAATATTTGTATACCTTCGCGATTGGGATGTGTTTTCCTCAAGGTTTTGTTTCTTTCATGGTTCTTGGTTCAAGGTCCTCCATTTCTTCTCCTTCTCCTCAAATTTCCAACACGATTTACATTTAATTCTTTTTTTTTTTTTTTTTTGTGCTTTGGTCCTTTAGACTTGCCATTGAACAATCTACTTTGGCTTTCCATTGAATCAATTATTTTTTTCGCACCTAGTCCATGTTTCCCATGGCTATTGAAGAAGATTGGTTAATTGCTAAAATGGCTGTGTCTTAAAATCTTAAACCACTAAATGCCATTAGATCCATCTTATGAATTTTGTACTTAATTAATTATTTGTGGAATAATATGATTACTTATCAAAGTTTATTTTAAGAAATAACAAAAATAAAGAATTACACTTTGTTGGACTTATTGATACGCACGCGCAATGGACCAGAATTGTCCTTAGGTTTAATTTAATGAAATAATTCGTTTGGTGGAGATTAAAATAGATTTTGATAAAAATTGATGAGATTTATGATTAAAAAGTTATAGGTTCTATAAAAAATAATTGTTGACTTTGACCTAGATTATAATCTAAATTTTAGTCTTTACCAAACAGGGGCATATTACATGATGATAATCATGTTTCCAAATTTTTTTCTTCTACTTTTTCCCTTCTTCAAAGAAAAAGTAAATTTGCTTAGATTTTTAATATGATTTCTGTGTCTTTCTTGAAAATTCAGCTCCTCCATTGGAAATGTTTAATTAAATCATTTGAAGTATGATTATACCATGTGACTAAAGACTCTTTTAAGTGTAACACATGGTAGGCTATTTTTTTTGTATAGTTTTTGACAAAGTAGGTATAAGTTGGTAAATAACTTTTTGAAGAAGCCTATAAAGTACTTCTAAAGAAAATTGAAAACTCACCGCTCTAATTTCTAACTTATCATGCTTGTAACAACTTGATCGTTAACATTTAAGTGTCAGCGTCAGTCATCGGGTAATGAAATTATTTAATTGGAGATCAAATTCAATGTCTTTAATTAGATCAATGGAGCGTTACGATGTGGGAAGAGGGAGAAGAAAGAATTGCGAGGGCAAGCGGAGAATTATTGGGAACGAATCAACATTTTTTCTACTTTATTTACTCTATAGTAACATGATGTATATACTCATCGTAAAATCTTACGTGTGAAAGTCATCTGCTATTTTGGTGGACAAATTGAATGATTTTTGTTCAAAAAGACCACTATTTTGGCAAAATAGGAATGTTAAAGAGGCCAGAAATGTTTAAAATCTCCTCTAACTAGAAGAATCACTTTCATAAAATTAACCAAACGAGTTCAAAAGTAATTTGTAGATCTTAATAGCTCATTTTGGCTTTCAGAAACCCTTAAGGCAGCTTCCTCTAAAATCTATTTTGGTAAGATAAAACACTTCTAAAAAATTATTCAAATATGTTCAGAAGCAACTTTTTAATTTGAAAAGTATCTTTTAACATTGCAAAAGCTTGTCAAACAAGTCTTTAATCACTCTCTAAATCAGAATTACTTCTATTGATCATCCAGTAATGAAATCTTAATACAGTATTGCATATCATAGTGTAAGTAGAAATCGACTTACACCAACCAGGATGAGCACTGGTTTAATTAACTCAAGTAGAAATCGACTTACACCAACCCAACCCCACCCCACCCCTTTCCTTTTTGGGGTGACTAGTAGTGTAGTGCATGTGTAGGGAAAATTCAAGAAACTATGGCCACATCATGTGGTTTTTTTTTTTTTTTCCATACCGAAAAGTGCCATGCATATGACCTATTTTTTAATATTTACAGTGGCTGCGATCCCACAGCATAAACCATATTGAAAAAGAATAAATATTCTCATTGCCAATGTCAGAAGATTAATTATAGTATAGGTTCATGAATGATGTTAACGACATATAAGTTAAAAAATTCTATGCGAAATGCGATTTATGACAGGGGTCTGATATCATCAAGTTGTACATATTGGAACCCACCTTGCTTAACATAATCAGTATTTATAATCTGATTTAAAGAGACTCCAAGAACTAAGCCCCAATTTGGCACCCATTTTTTTCTCCTTCTTTTTCTCTTTCTTCATTTCAACCACACATTCTATCAATAAAATAATATTACACATAAACTTAAAAATTTTCCTTACTTTTTAAACCCACATTCTTCCATCAATCAATATTCAAAAACACATTTTTCTACTAAAATGGGTGTCAAACACCCAATTACGTTAATGGTTATTCTTTTGTAGTTATTTGTGTGGGTTAATTACATTAATGGTTATTGAAATTTTAATTATTTATGTTAATGATTACTTAAATTATGTTTTTACGGTGATGCCCGCTCGTGTTTTTAATCGATCTTATTGCGCAGATAGTTCAGGAGTTTCAATGGTAAATTTCTAAAGTTTGAGTTGTTTGCATGATGTTTACACACTCTTTGAAATATCACGGTATTTAATCCACTTGCAATCACAAGGGTGGTAAAAAATCTCTTCTTTTCTTCAATGAACTGTGTGTTAACATTGAACACAATGCTTTAGTACCTCCATTTTCTCTTTTAATCTATTTTTCCAAATGGATCTTGTCGATAATAATAGTTGTAGTAATCAACTATTTCTTGTAAATGGGTCACATAAACTCATATTTCTTGAGGTTGGTGCAAGTGATTTTGATCTTTGGATTGAAAATTGATTTTACAATGAAACCGATATTCATGTTTAGGAGAGAACGTTTGAAGATGAAGAATAAATGTATTGAGGATGGTGGATATATGTATGAAGTATTTGTCATTTTCTAAACGACCTCCTATATCCTATGACCCAACTACGATCATTTTCTCCTTGTATGATATATTTCAAACTTTCACCATTTTCTACAATGCGTTGGTTGGCTCTTTCGATAGAATATCGCACTATCTCTTCATCCTCCAGCACTTATAAATCTTCATTCTTCATGTCCCAAACCGTCTTTGTTGTTCCCACCTCTCCCTACACAATTTTTTAATGTTTAATTGATGATGAAGTTCTACATCCAGATCTAGGATCTGAAATGGATT